TGGATTCTTCTACATATTGAAGTTGAATACTTACATGATATTGAAGTTGTTTGCTTGATGTAGGAGTTTTGGGCTTAAAAAATTGATGTCTGTTTTGCGTGCATTTCTGTATGTTCACTGTCTGTTTGTACAAATGTAACATCCAAACCTTGAGTTAACTTTCAATTGATCTAAGCACTGTTCAATATTTGTGTTTCATCGTCAATCATCCATAACAAATTTTCTTGAATCACCTGTCACAAATCATGATCGATCATGATTTGTGACAGGTGATTCAAGAGAATTTGTTATGGATGACTGACGATGAAACACAAATATTGAACAGTGCTTAGATCAATTGAAAGTTAACTCAAGGTTTGGATGTTACATTTGTACAAACAGATAGTGAACATACAGAAATGCACGCAAAACAGACATCAATTTTTTAAGCCCAAAACTCCTACATCAAGCAAACAACTTCAATATCATGTCAGTATTCAACTTCAATATGTAGAAGAATCTAACTAAAGATAGTCTGAAGGGTTTTCATGAACAAATTCAAGCAAACAACTTCAATTATCTACCAGAGGATTGCGTTTAAAACAAAAATCATGCTTACTTGAGTTGGATGCTGTCCTGGACCATCCCCTGCATTAATAACAGGAATACTGGCAGTGGCTGCTGCTCTTTGAGCAGCACCACTTTCAAAGTGCCTCATCACAATTATATCCGAGTACCCTTCAACTGTTCTTATACTATCTGCAAATCAAGCTTCAAAATTAGAACCACAAGGCAACGAATTAAGCACCTAAAATTAAGCATTTGAAAAACTACCTTCAAGCATCTCCCCTTTTGCAGCGGACGAAAACTCCCTAGCATTTTCTGTTGTCAAAACTTCCCCGCCCAACCGTTTCATAGCAGACTCGAAAGAAAGCCTAGTTCTAGTTGAGGGCTCGTAAAAGAGGGTAGCCATTAAAAACCCCTTCAGAATTTGGCTGCCAGCTGAGTTCTTCTCGACCTTCTCCATCTCACGCGCCACTTCAAAAATAGCACTAAGAATATCTCTATCGAATTGCTGAGCTTCAATCACATCATTGAGTTGAAATTTATTCCCAACTGAAAATGAAATCTTATTTTCAACTTTCAGTGCTTGACATTGGACTCTATTTATTGGTAAGAGCCTCCCACTTTGTTCCCAATTTATTGATTTCACATTAGACAAAAACCTTGATTGTGTTAGGTCAGCACATAGAGCAATTAACCTAGGGTTAGACGATTGTTTGAAGAGACTCGAACAATTGAAAATGAACTCTCTGTAGCACTTCATTGATTTAGGGCCGGACACGGAGCCGTGTAATGTACATGTAGAAAATGAAGACGAAGAAGTCATTGCAAGAAAGAGAACAACAATCTATGTTCGTTCAAGAGATTTTCAGCCCCTACAATATAACAAAAACAATAATAATTAAGAAATGCACTACTGCATGATCAAACTAACCACAAAACTTCCTATTTTAACCAATGAAACATCTAGTTTAATTTTGGTGAATGACTAGAAGTTAGGGCTATGTTAATTGAAGCTGTACTGTTTGGTTGCTGAGAACATTTTAGAAAGTAGGTAAGAAAAAATATGTATTCAGATGTTGAATCGGTACAATTGCAGGACAGAAAAAACTAACCGCTATCAGGAAAATCGATTGAGATTTCTAATTTTTTTTTTTTCCCATTTCGTTTTCTCGACAACCAAACAGAAGGTTACGAAACGTCGAAATAGAGAAAATCGAATCCAGTTCTTATATAAATACAAAATCGATCATAGAATCGGAAATAATAATCGAATTTCTGTATCTGTAAACTTTATTTCAATCGACTCACAAAGATAAACAGATTGATAGAACTAGAATGAATGTATATAAGCATACAGTTCCGCTACGTCGCTCGAAAACTTACCCCCCGAATCCCCCGAAATTGATAAAGGTGAGTTTTGAGATCACTGTCAATCTACCAACACCACGCGCGAAATAGAAGAAGAAAAGAGAGGAGAGGAGAGAAAGAGGAGCCCGTCGAAGAAGAATACCACTGAGATCGACCACCGACCTGGGTGACCATCGACGACCAGCAAAAAACTCTGCCGAAGTGACTGTGTTGTTCGGCTTTTCTTCTTCTGAGGCCTCTGTTTCTTCTTCTTCATTCTGTTTCTTGTCCAAGGGTATGTCTCTGTTTCTTCTTCTGAAACCTAGTTCATAGAATGCTGCTGTTTTGTTAGTAATGTATTTATTGATTTAGTAGTGGTAATCTTTGTACATAATTTTATAAAAACCTAGTTGATTTATACATAATTTTATAGAGGGAAATGTTTGAGAACTCGACCGGAGAGGGAATTATGTATAAATCAGCTAGGTATTATCAGACTCCAAAATTATGTTTATAGAAACCTAGTTCAAAAATGGTATTATCCACAAATGGATTTCTGAATTTGTGGACTAACCTAGTTCATTCTGAATTTTTGTGCTATTCATCTATTTGTGGATTTCACAAAAATGAATTTGTCGATTTCAGAATTTCTGTGCTGTTCATCTAATTGTCCAAAGACAATCAAGAAATCCATTTTTGTGGACTAACCTAGTTCATTCTGAATTTTTGTGCTATTCATCTATTTGTGGATTTCACAAAAATGAATTTGTCGATTTCAGAATTTCTGTGCTGTTCATCTAATTGTCCAAAGACAATCAAGAAATCCATTTTTGTGGACTAACCTAGTTCATTCTGAATTTTTGTGCTATTCATCTATTTGTGGATTTCACAAAAATGAATTTGTCGATTTCAGAATTTCTGTGTTGTTCATCTAATTGTCCAAAGACAATCAAGAAATCCATTTTTGTGGACTAACCTAGTTCATTCTGAATTTCTGTGCTATTCATCTATTTGTGGATTTCGCAAAAATGAATTTGTCGATTTCAGAATTTCTGTGTTGTTCATCTAATTGTCCAAAGACAATCAAGAAATCCATTTTTGTGGACTAACCTAGTTCATTCTGAATTTTTGTGCTATTCATCTATTTGTGGATTTCACAAAAATGAATTTGTCGATTTCAGAATTTCTGTGTTGTTCATCTAATTGTCCAAAGACAATCAAGAAATCCATTTTTGTGGACTAACCTAGTTCATTCTGAATTTTTGTGCTATTCATCTATTTGTGGATTTCACAAAAATGAATTTGTCGATTTCAGAATTTCTGTGTTGTTCATCTAATTGTCCAAAGACAATCAAGAAATCCATTTTTGTGGACTAACCTAGTTCATTCTGAATTTCTGTGCTATTCATCTATTTGTGGATTTCGCAAAAATGAATTTGTCGATTTCAGAATTTCTGTGTTGTTCATCTAATTGTCCAAAGACAATCAAGAAATCCATTTTTGTGGACTAACCTAGTTCATTCTGAATTTTTGTGCTATTCATCTATTTGTGGATTTCACAAAAATGAATTTGTCGATTTCAGAATTTCTGTGTTGTTCATCTAATTGTCCAAAGACAATCAAGAAATCCATTTTTGTGGACTAACCTAGTTCATTCTGAATTTTTGTGCTATTCATCTATTTGTGGATTTCACAAAAATGAATTTGTCGATTTCAGAATTTCTGTGTTGTTCATCTAATTGTCCAAAGACAATCAAGAAATCCATTTTTGTGGACTAACCTAGTTCATTCTGTTTCTTGTCCAAGGGTATTATCCATTTTTGTAATTAAATGTGTCTCAATGTGCTCTTTGTTCTAAGTGATAGGTTCAAAACCCAGTTAAGTCATTATGCATAAGTTTTTTGTATGAACAGAACATGTTTTGGACAAACTGTTTCACACTTTGCATTTGAGTTTGATGAACATAATTTGTGTATGAACAGAACCTATATGAACATAACCATAATTTCTGAACAGAACCTGTATGAACATAATTTGTGTGATGTATACAAACTGTTTCACACTTCGCATTTGAGTTTGAAGGTACAATGGACATTGATTCAAACCATCCTACATTGAGTGGGGGTGAGGAAGTTGAGGAAGCAGAGAACAATCCTTCATTAAATGAGAGTGACGAAATTGAAGAACCTAAGAAGGGGATGTGGTTTACCTCAAAGCAAGAAGTTCACGAGTTTTATGCAAAATATGCTAAAAACCTTGGATTTGCTATAGCTTAGGTCAAAAATGGGGTGTCTACAGATGGAAAGGTGAAATACTTTGGAATTGAATGTACTCGGGCGCAGAAGAGGACAAAAAGATCAGAAGTAAACCCCCTGAAACCATCTTTGTCATCAAAAATTGATTGTAAAGCTAGGATAAGAGCGATTTTACAACCGGATAGAAGATATAAGTTAACTACAGTTGTGCTTGACCATACACATGATTTAATTCCTAGCGACTCACGCCATTTTCCAATGAATAAGAGGATTCGTACTTCTGTGAAGAGAAGATTAGAAATAAATGATGAAGCAGGAATAGGGGTATCTAGGAATTTTCATTCTATAGTTGTTGAAGCGGGGGGATATGAGGCATTAACATTTGATGAACGAGATGTAAGGAACCACATTGAAAATGCTAGAAGATTGAGGCTTGGGGTAGGAGACGCCGAATCAGTTGCATTTTATTTTCATAGGATGCAACAAGAAAATTCAAACTTCTACTCTGCAATTGACTTTGATGTAGATGGTCGCATCCGAAACTTGTTTTGGGCGGATGCAAGGAGTAGGGCAGCTTATAAAGCATTTGGAGATGTTGTCTCATTTGACACGACCTATCTTACAAACAAGTATGATATGCCGTTTGCTCCGTTTGTAGGAGTTAATCACCATGGACAGTCAATCTTGTTTGGTTGTGGGCTATAATCTAATGAGAACACGGACACTTTTGTTTGGCTATTCAAAGAATGGTTGAATTGTATATCAGCCACTCCTCCAAATGCTATTATAACTGACCAGTGCAGAGCCATGCAAAATGCCATACAGATTGTCTTCCCAGAGGCTCGACATCGTTGGTGTTTATGGCATGTAATGAAGAAAATTCTCGAGAAATTGAGAGGATATTCCCAATATGAAGCCATCAAATTCGCTTTACAAAGTGCAGTATATGATTCTTTCAGAAAAGATGAATTTGATGAGGAATGGCAAACGATGATTGAAAAGTTTAGCCTCCATGACAACGAGTGGTTGGGAGTATTATATGCTGAGCGACATAGGTGGATTCCTGCCTATGTGAAAGATATATTTTGGGCTGGCATGTCAACTACACAGCGAAGTGAGAGCATGAATGCATTTTTTGATGGCTATGTCAACTCAAAGACTACTTTAAAGCAATTTGTTGAACAGTACGACAATGCATTGAGAAGTAAGGTGGAGAAGGAGACCAAAGCAGACTTCAAATCTCGAGACAGATTGTATGATTGTTTAACGGTGTATGAGTTTGAGAAGCAATTTCGTGCAGCCTACACAAATGCGAAATTTAAAGAAGTTCACGTAGAATTGAAGCGACTACTGTATCATCATGCAAATCTTGTGAAGGAGGAGGGATCCATTTGTACCTATCATGTCAAGGAAGCTGTGCTTGTGGGTAAGAAAATGAAGAAAGTTGAATTTCTTGTTTACTTTAATTCAACTGAATTTGAAATGCAATGTGTGTGTCGGTGGTTTGAGTTTAGGGGGATCATGTGTGCCCATTCCCTTAGTGTGCTCATTGAGAGGAGCATATATGAGGTTCCTAATAAGTACATTATGTCGAGATGGAAAAAAGATTTGGAAAGAGGGTACACATGTATTCCAACAACATACACGAAATCCGGGGCTGCCCTCAATGCAAAGGTACATGAGAGCTACCACAAGACATTGGATGAAATTATAGAAATTGCTTCCAACGATGATGGTAAACACAAAGCCATTCAACTTGGGTTGAGAGAAATCAAGGAAAGAGTAAGAAAAGATGAATCTCGTTGTGCGAGTAATGTGCCACCTTCTAGTAGTACTGTCCCACCTTGTAGCAGTAATGTGCCACCTTGTAGTACTACTCGCAAGGTGCTTAGTCCTTTGGTTGCTCGCCGAAGAGGTCGTCCATGTACGAAACGGAAGGTGAGCAAGGTGGACGAAATAGTGAATCGGTTAAAGGGAAAGAATAAAAAGGCAACAAAAGTGTAGGTATATTTTTTTATTTTTTGCTTATATGTAAATTTCTGAATTTCTTTTTGTCTAACTTTGTCACCAATGTGTGTTACTATAGGGTCGTAAGATGGGTCAATGTGAACCTCATAAGTTGAATTTCGGTTGTACGGATGGAATGGAAAATAATATGTACGATCGGGTATGTATTTTGGTTTTGTATGGTATTTATTTAAATGTTTGAACTTATTAATGATATTTTGTTATTATGTATCATAAGGTGCCGGAAGCTCAATCCTACTATTTTCCTTGTATGGACGGGACACAAGAGAGCGCATTGCAAATGGTGGACAAAGTTGGAAGCTCATCTTTGAGTGAATCAGGAATGACGAATATAGATGGTTCAACTTTTGTCGACTTCAATATAGATGTGGATCCAAATGCTCAATTTTTTTTTTAGTTTCGTAGTATGGAATTTGTAACACATGCTGAACAGATATTTTATTTTTTGAACTGGTTTTTCTTAACACATGCTGAACAGATTATATTTTGAAGAAGTTATATTGAAACAGGTTCTGTATGTTTTTAACAGGTTAAATTTGATTCTAAACAGCAGATTCTGTTCAAACAGGTTCTGTAGAATGTATTTATATTCAAACAGAATATGTCAAGATCAGTATGTTCAAACAGATTCTGTGAAGATCTGTATGTTCAAACAGATTCTGTTAACAGGTTTTTACAGATTTGAATGTGAATTTTTGGACAGATTCTGGAATGAATGTTAACAGGTTTTAACAGGTTTTAATAGATCTGTATGATCTGTATTTTTGGACATGTATGAAACAGATTCTGAATTTTTGGATAGGTTTTAACAGGTTTTAACAGATTCTGGAAGATCTGTATTTTTTTTCTGTGAACTTGTTTTGAAAGGAGCAGAATGAATGTGACAAATTCTGTGTTTCGACATTCTGTGTTGTGTCACAAAATTCTGTGTGCAGTTTAGAATGAATGTGAATTCAAATTTGTTGGTTTGTGAATGGCAAATATGAATTCTATCCAGAATGTGAATTGTAATTTGTTGGTTTGCCTAAATTGATTTTGGAGCTCTTCAAGGGGTCAGTTGGTGACACGGAAACTGATAGTTGTTCTTTTACTGGTTCACATCAAGTAAGGTGTATTTTTCCTTTCTTGTTTATGTCCACACAGTCAAACTTAGCAGGTTTCTCAACACATTTATTTTGATAACCATAATTTTGAGCAAAACCAACATTTAAGTTTAAAATAAATTAACTTGACCTTCTCTTTTTCAGATGGAATTTGTCATTGAGACCTCTTCTTCATAATTCCTCTCAACTTTTGGTCATGCTTCTAATGTGTGCATCTATCTCTGATCAGCATAGACAAACATTCTTACACTTGAGTTTTTGAATGTTCAATTGCATCAACCAGCTTCAAATTTGTGAACAAATTTGCCATTCACAAACCAACCTGGTGAACAAATTTGCCATTCACAAACCAAGCAGACAGTTAAAAGTTCTTCTTTCTACATCCCAACCTGGTGAACAGATTAAACACACACACATATTACATCCCAACCTGTCACCAAATGTCATCCAACACACACACAGATTAAACACACCTAAGGTGAATCATCCTAACCTCGTACAGATTAAACACACGCACGGATTAAACACACACATATTACATCCAACCGAATGATTATATAACATCAACCAAGATCCAAAGGCAAAAGTGAGATACAAAATCAAGATCCAAAGCCAATGACATAAAGCATCAAGTCCATTAAGTCCATAACTACATCCATCAAATTCCCTAAAAGCTATCAACTTAGTAATTTACATTATAAAATAGAAAATAATACAAAATACAATGAAATAAAGCATCACATTCAATTTCATCTCCACCCTTCGAAGCCTTTTACCATACTCCTCAAATTCATTATCCATCTCATAAACCCTTGTGCTTCGATCGTTAAATTCATCGCTTCTTATAGATGTACGAGGTGTAGCATTGAAGATCTCGTCGTCATCATTATCATCTGCAAACTTGAAGTAATTGCAGTGTTCCTCACTAACCTACAATGCATGACAATCAGTTAATCAAATGAGGCTAATAAATTTCCATACTGCTTACATATTTCGATGGACACACAAAGTACACACGGCCTTTATTTCCATTCTGATTTGACTTGACAGTGTGCCTGGCAGCTGTTATCCCACAATCGCACAATCTTCGTTTCAATCTTATGTTGCTATTGTTACTAGAGGAACAAACCATTTTGTAATCTGCATACAGAATGGAAAACACAGACATGATACATACAAAGCTATGTCCAAAATTTATATTTAGTTTTCCAAAATTCATATGAATTGAATGCAAAACCCATATGAATTGAATTCAATCCAAAGAAAATTGCAGTGTCTAAAACAAACATTTCCAAAGGCACTGCTATGTCCAAACCTCAAAATCAACTTTCGTTGCCTCATGAATTGGCCCATTTGGTTCCGAAACCCAACAACATGCACTGAGTTTAGAGCACCGACAACCCATCCCAATATCAGAATTTGGAAGAAAACACCAATGAGTCTTGAAACTTCACACCAGAGATAACCAACAATCAAACCCAGATTCACATGCCAATCCAGTTAATCTCCTCTTTGAAGACCCATTTAAAATTTCTTGTGGTAGCAATTATTATTCCTAAACCAAATCCAGATCATCTCATGAAACACTTAATGATATAGTAAAACCCATGTTTGAATTGCTCTAAAAAAAAAAAAAAAATACAAACCCACAAATCAAATATGCATATAGACCAATATAATTTGTAAATAGATAGAAGTAATAGCTAATCATTTGATACAAAAAATGAATCAAATGATTAACTCAGAACATGTTCAAATCTGAATCTGAGTCTTAACAGAATGAAAATAGTTACAAAATTGGGTTTGGGGGATTGTTGCTATTTCATACCAAATATCAAAATTAAGTAGATGGAATTCATGCTATTTCATACATTCTTATACATTATTGAACCTGTTCTACTCTTTTCGGTTTCCTTTCAAACCTATATACATTCTGTTTAATACATTCCATACCACATATCACAAAATGCATTTAAACAGAATATATATAAACAGAATATTTACACCATAACAATCAGAAATTGGGCAATAAAACCAAAACCCTAATAAATATCACACTGTGCAGGACTTATCAACAACAATTATTTACACCAAAACCCTAATAATATCACAAATTAGGCATTACATAACAATCATAACAATCAGAAATCAACATAACATCTACGAATTCAACACAAAACCAAAACCCTAAAATTAATTGAAGAGAACAAAACCCTAAAATTAATTACATAACAATCATAAGAATCAGAAATCAACATAACATATAAACACAAACTCTAGTTGAAGAGAAGATCAGGGAGTCCACACCCGTAGCTGAAGAGAAGATCTGCGAGTCCACACCCGTAGTTGAAGAGAAGATCTGCGAGTCCACAGATCTGCGACTCCACACCCGTAGCTGATGAGTAGATCTGTTATGCGAGTCCACACCCGTAGCTGATGAGAGGATTTGGAAGTGATTAAGGGCTCGAAGAGAGAGTGAGTAGAGAAAGATGAGAGGATTAAGGGCTTCAATGGAGTCGATTGGAGAGAGGATGCTCGAAGCTGAGGAGAGAGTGAGTAGCGCGTAGCCAGAGATGGGTTTTGGAGTCTGATAAAGAAGTCTGATAAAGAAAGTGTTAGAAACGACGTCGTTTCTAAATTTCGGGGGATTAGGGGGAAACATTTTCGAGTTCTCAAATATTTCCCTTTTTTTAAAGTGTCGCATCACTATAAAATGACCAAATACCCTTAGCCAATTGACAAAATTTATGATTTTGCCCTTGTGAATATGAACACTTTTTTTTAATGTAATTACAATTTTCCAACAAATTTTATTTCATTTTTATTATTATTACAATTTGCAAATTTTACCAAATATCTTTTATGATTACAAATTTATTATTTTCATTTTTACGAATTTTTTTTTTATTATTACAAATTTATTAGTAAATGTATTCTTTTTATTATTATTACAATTAGCAAATTTTCCAAACAATTATTGCAAATGGCCAAAAAACCCTTAGCAAAATTTTTTCTATTATTATTACAGTGTTGTTAATTATTTTTATTATTATAATTGAATGGCATATTTATTTTCTTAATTTTTGCTAACAAATTGCGCTCTTACATTAAATAATTTTTTTATTACAAACTAGTAAACGCCCTTCACAACCTGCAACTTAGAAACACAACCGTACATTTTTCTAACACTTTAAACAGTTTCACACAATCATTTCGTTTGCCATCAACTCGTATAGACCGAATAGGATTAGAACCCAAGTTGACGCCGATGTCGCACTAATTCATTTCGTATTGATTTCATCACTTCGTTCATATGTACGTCATCATCGCCCTCTGGTTCACCATCATCATCGTCACCAAGACCGTCAACACTTGGCATGTCGTTGAACGTAAAATTCTTTGCATTCGCAACCTTGTTGAATGCTTCATCGTTGCTCGAGTTGCGGCGTATAAAATTATGTATTGCCATGGAAGCCCCGACCAATGGCACATGTACTTTCCCGAAATCATATCGCGACATGTTATGTAGGAATTCCCATTGCGCTTTCCATATTCGGAACGTACGTTCAATTGCACTTTGTAAGAAGGAGTGCACCGTGTTGAAAATTTCGTTTGCATTTTTTGGTCGTCTAGTTGCGCGAAACTCTTCCTGGTGGTAGCGGTATCCCTTAAACGGCTCCAAAAACCCTTTTTGGTTCTTGTACCCCGCATCAACAAGGTAATATTTTCCTGCTTGTATTTTGGTAATTTTTCATTAGTACGTAGTATCATTAGAAATATCAAATGCACATAATTAATACAAACAAAAAAACTAGCCGTTATTCATCTAACCTTCCTCTGGCATGGGGAATTGTTTGACTGGGTCCTGTGTTACTTCGTTAAAAACTCTACTGTCATGCATACTACTCTCTCATTCGCAAGATATAAAAGTAAAACACAAATCGAAATGACACGCTGCGAGTATGTTTTGCGTGTGCCGGCCTTTACAGCCAAAATATGGCGCTTCCTCCTAAGGTGGGAGATGTGCCTCCACATGTGTGCCGTCAAGCGCGCCAATATAGTCCTGCAGAAGCACACAAAAAATGTAAAGGAGAAATGCTACTACCCGAAAAAAAGTTCGCCCTTACTTTCTGAAAGTGACTACTATTCATAATTAAATGTACAACAAATAAATACACTCACTTTGAATGGGAAATCTTTTCGTCGGGACTCTAAGTACGGATGTCTACTGTGTTGTGACCTTGTCGGTCGGCATTGTGCATTCGTGAACAATTTCATCGATTTAAGAACTCGCATTGCATGATGCCATACTGTTTCCCCTGAGTGTTGAAAACGGTCTTCTATGTCCCAACTCGTGAAGCCCCGTAACACAAATATGAACATGCTGACACTCTCAACTACGTCTACACCATGGGGACGCTGTGGTACTGGAAGGCCGCAATCCTCAACTAATATCTTGCACAACATCAAGAACACATCCTGTGACATCTGAAAATTTCACCTGAAATGCTTCATTCCTTCCTCGAAGCATTTCCCGCATCCACATGCTACCAGTCAATGAGGATGTGTGAAACGGAGTCCTGTCAACATACGCGTACTCGTTGGCAACGCGAGCAATTTCCACTCAAATCATTGATGTCGTCGATTCCATTTCTCTGATCGTCTCTCGTATCCAGGCATTTATTTGGCCATTGCGTACGACTCTCGAGCTACTACCCTCTTGTGCATCCATAGACGTTGCAAATTATATGACATAAAAACTACAAGCTGTAGTGACTAATTGGCGAAATGAGTTGCCCAACTCCATGATATATAACACTCTTGTTACTGTGGCTATGTGATTGCCCAAAGTTGAACACCATGACACACATGTGATTGGTAGTACATTTCCAGGTTTGTACAATTGCATGCTTCCATATAAGCACAAAGTTTCATGTGCTTCTGATTGACGTAAGGCACATCAAAAATTTTCAATATTTGATGTGAATTTTTTTATGTAAAATAAAGTAAATAAAGAAATGTAAATAAATAAAATAATGAAACACAAAAATATTTTTGCATAAAATAAATAAAAACCACACAATAAATAAATATTTTTTAAAAATAAAGAAATGTAACTACTTTGCATCCCATATTAAATAAAATAAATAAAATACATAAGTAATGAAAATAACTAAAATAAAGAAATGTAACTACTTTGCATCCTATTTTTTTTTTCCCTTCACAAAAATTAATTTCAACATAGTTAAAAAAACCAATCATTTTTATTTTTTTAAACTTCTTGGGGACTACATTTATGGACTTTTTAATTTTCTAGCAAATTAGTGTTTGCTTTTGTAACTCCAATTTTCGTTTTGCCAATTATAAAATAGATTTAACAAATTCAATCCTAATAGACTATAAAATATACTACTTTGTTTTTTCCATCAAACTAATGTCTGCCCCACAACTCGCTATCTGCCTGTGACAAGGAGCACCTAAAATAAATATTTACACAACAAACAAAAAAGAGCCTGCAAAGACATGCATGTAGATTCCCTGGCCATAATATTTTGCATAACATAACAAGCATGTGACACAATAGTGCTACATTGCGGTGTGTATACTCCCATATCGGTTGCAAAGTTCTGCAGAATCATACATACACGTCCACACCAAAACAAAAGGAATGCGAATAGTCTCGTATGTGCACCATCCCCCCCCCCAAAAAAAAAAAAAGCTAAAACAAACACACAAAATATACTACAATCTCATGATAACCAAATACTAAAATCACAATCCAACCAAAAGCCCTAGTCCAAGTCAACAGCACCACCACTCCCGAACAGCTATGTCCCCCCTTCACAATCCATGCCAACATTGGCTAGCGTGCAGGCATGCTTCTCTGTCAACCAGTTGACAATGTAATTCTGGGAGAGGGCCATGATGATGTCCCGATTATCGGGTGAATCCATTATGCCGCATGCCATGATGATGCGCCGGGCTTTAATCCAGGCGTGCTCATAAGCCTTGCAAGACAGTCCTCAACAGTGTTGTCACCTTTACTAGTGACAACGTATTGCATAATTTTCAGCTCCCTGCTTTCTTTGCTCACTACTTCTACGAGATTGTCCATGCTACTAGTGACAGTACCAGGCACTGCTCGCTTGCGACGTTTTGCATTGGCTGATCCATCCACGGCTGACTAGGGGGAGAGCATCGTCAAAGAGGCTACTATCAACAACGTTCTCCCCGAAAGTGTCATGGCCCGGCTGTGGTGGTGTGCCTGCACTGAGAGGTCTCATCCCAATATCCTCGTTAGCATTGGTCGCAGCATCATCAGCGCACACTTCTGTTGGAGTCCATGCATGTTTCCTAGTCACTGCTGCGCCAGAGTACACCCGCTCCATGAGGTCCACATGCTTTAGAGGCTTACTCTTGAATTTAGCACATCGGTTGTTCATCTAAGACAAGAGAAAACACCTATGTAAGTAAAACTTAAAATGTATTTGCTGGCCTTAAAGTGTACCACCAATGATAGTAACCGAGGCAAAACACATGAAGGGATTCAGTGTTGTAATTACAAAATGATAAATGTAACTCGTGAATTAAGTGTACACACGACACGTTGTGGGTTGCCCAACATATGTGAAAGTAGTATGTTCAACAAGTGCTTTGATTTGCAAAAGTTGTTATGTGAACAAAATATGGCACCACAAATCAGCAATACTAGTACAACAGTAATGGGGAACATAAATGTTTTGTCAAAACATACCGCTTGCATTTTGGCCCACCAATGGTCAGGTGCAGTGAACAAGCTCGTCTCATGGTCGCACCCAAGCCCTATCAAGCCGTGGCTGGCATTCTCCAACTTCTTCCATGCTATCCAATCTTTCTTCAAGTTGTCAAACTTGTTTTTCATTTGTTTGGCCAAATGTAATAAGCCGGTTTTCTCTAGAAATTTGTTTGCTACGTTTTTATACCCATGGACAATCCGCATAGTTGTCGATTACCACCTTCCATTTCAACAATGACGAGTTGAAGAAACAGCTTTGTATTATCGCTGTCGAATTGGCATTTGTAGACTGGCTGGGGTTGGGTTGATGTGACAGCGTTACCTAGAGACTTTGAAGGGGCACGGGGTGATGATCAGTTTGTTGCCATGAGTAGTGCTGTCCTGCTTGTAAAATTAAGGCAATATCAATGGCAAATAAAGTAGAGTAGATATTTTTTGCATGCCCAAAACTGAAATAAAAGTGTAAACACAATTACTGCAGTAATAACAATAAATAGTACAACACTTTGCAAAAGACAAAGTCGGTTTGTATTACACGTTAGGGAAATCTTATGTAACAGGACAAACACGTAACTGACAATAAAGTACATGTATGATACAAAAAGTAACTACGCAGTAATATCCATGACAAGGCATCACATCCGAAACAACAACACCAAAACAACGACGCACAAAAAATCGACGACCGTCCTAAGCGTACGTAGGCTCTGATCTATACGCGCAATGTCCGCTCGTAACCCCAGATCGACATCATTATGTGGCTGGTCAGTACCCAAACTGGTGCTGTGAAACTCGTCACACCAACCAACCCACGCAACACATCTCTGCTGGACAAAATTACAGTAGATAGTTAGCATGCATACTATGCCACACAATCACAAATGAACGACGACATGACTAAGTGCAAAAGAGAGTGGCAACACAAAAGCACCGTAGTTCTAGGGCAAACGTAGTACACACAAGCACACATTCTCGGTGTTCATGATGAAGTGGCAGTTGACGTGGAGGATGCCATCTGTATACTTATTTGATTTTTTTGTTCATGTTATAAATTGAACTAATGTCATCTAGTGTGCGGAATGAAAGACAGTAACTGAAAGAAGTTCATTTTGAATTTAGGTTAACTATTGAAAATGCTAGTTTACTGGTGTGTCCTGATTAGCCATTTTCTTTTCTAAATTTTTCCGTACTGTAGTTGTCTTGTGCTGTCATGTTTTGGTAAACTACTTCAGGAATACACAAGATGTATGTTGTACGAATTTCTGTAGTCTGGGAAGTAAACTAAAACAACAAATTAACATGAAAATGACCACCTCCACAGTACTATACACAATCCTCCCCATCCCAACAATATAATACACAATCCACAGTACTAATTCTTTGGAGCCATTTTCCAAATCCATAATACTAATATTCTTTGAATCTATATGTGATAACCCTGTTTCGTTTCGTGCTAATTGGTCCTTAATATGAATATGATTATGTATTTGATGTGATTTTGTGTGCCATTATGTGAAAATATGTGGTTTTGAATTTCTATCTGTTCACCGTAGGAATATCTGCTTTGGAAATTAAATTGAAGGCCCTATCGGCCACAGAAACTGAAATCGATTGTGCCTTTGTGATTAGTGTAATTTTTAGAGCCTACAGTGAAATTTAATTGGAAATTGATTCGGATCAAAATAAATAGATTAAATTGGTGCTTTAGTGCTCAATTATTTAATTCAAATCAATTGTGCCTATGAGAGCACATGTAAAGGGCCTTATTACAATTGATTTCTCCTTTTATATCATTTGGATGGTTTCAACTCTAAGAAGAAAAAGAGAGAACCGAACTAGAGAGAGATAGAGTGTAGGAGAATCAAAGTTTGATCTTGAAGGCTTGGAAATTTGAAGTCTAACTCTAGATTTGACCATAGATTGGAAGAATTGAGCTTCTAGGTAAGTGAATTCATAAGTTTAATGTTGTAAATTGTAAATTTAAGTTTGATTAATGGTCAAGAACATGAGTTAGTTTGATCATAAGGAAATTGGGTTGATTTTGTTGTATTTGAAGTCATGGAATGCTTGCATGTGCATAATAACCATGAATTTGCATAATTGAGCATGAAAAATATGATCCATGTAAAATTGTGGCTAGAATCCATGCTTGTGACCACCATTTGTACAATTTGAGTTGAAATGGAAGCCATATCTCACATGCATGTACCATTCATAAGAGGTATGAGCTTGAATGTATGAAATTGTTATGTTGAAAGTGAAGTTGGTGTAGATTGAGCATGTAATATGCGAATTGTGAAGAATTGAGCATTGGAGCATACATGCAAGCATGGTTTTGTTAATTTTCATGGTTTTGGAAATGAGGTAAAAAATGGACATGCATGTTAATTTATGGAAGATATGAAGCCTATGTAAAGTTTGAATGAATGAACCTTGAGTTTACCAAGAAATGTTGATTAATTTGGAAGAATTGGGCCATGATTTTGAGCAATTGACCTTACCTTGCTTATATATTCATGTTATATAATGTGTTTGCATGCTTTGGAACCAAATTTATGGGTTTTGAACCTTGGAAGGTCGAAATTGCGCTCAAGAACAATTTTGGATTTTCCAGAATTTATGATGTTCACTCGAGCGTGGGAATCACCGCTCGAGCGGGGAATACGTGCTCCCAGAATTTTTTGCAGACATGGCGTCTGCTCGAGCGGGGGAGTTCACGCTCGAGCGTGGAGCTATATAGGATGACCTTCCACTCTAGCGTCCGAGTTCGCGCTCGAGCGTCGAATTGATGTAACCAGAAATTTTGCAAACCTATTGGGTCCGCTCGAGCGGGGAATCCCACGCTCGAGCGGGGACCCTATTTTTTGAAATTTTGAAAGCGTATTATGTGTTTCGTTTTCCATTTTCTTTCACTTGCAAGCACTCTTGGGCATGCATTAAGCATTGTAATTGAGTTAAAGAGATAAGAATGAAGCCTAAAGAGAAAAATATGAATTTGGAATGGATTGAATTGTTTGTGACCCTTTTGTGTTCATGGAATGTGTAGGGTCGAGCTCCAGAGCAAACCAACCAACCGATCACTGTGAGTAATATCTTAACAAGATGTTTGAAATATGTTGTCGTCCAATTGTTTACTTCTATGTAAGTTTTGTAAGTTCATTAATTTGAATAGTGGACAACGATTGATATAAATGATTGGGCTGAAGGCTAATTGATATAAATGATAGGGCCGAAGGCCGATTGACATGAATGATAGGACCGAAGGCCGATTGATATAAATGATTGGGCCGAAGGCCGATTGATATAAATGATTGGGCCGAAGGCCGATTGACATAGATGATTGGGCTGAAGGCTGATTGATATGAATGATTGGGCCGAAGGCCGAATGACATGAATGATTGGGCCGAAGGCCGATTGACATGAATTATTGGGCCGAAGGCCGATTGATACAAGTGATTGGGCCAAAGGCCGTCTGCTGTAACTGTTTCAAAGATTGCCTATGTATTTTCCTTATTCGATATTATTCACTGGGCTTTCGTTCACGCTCATTCATGTACATGTAGGTGAGCCAAGGGACGTCTAGAACCAGCCTCGGTGAAATTGTGAGAAACAGTCAAAGTTTTAAGGAGTCAGCCCAAACGTCTCACGCACAAGACTGTCTTCGCCTTTGTCCTTTGTTCATAGTTTTGTTATGTTGGCGAAAGCATTGGACTACTTTTTTATATAAGTCTTGGGTTCGACTGACTTAAACTTGTATGATCCTGTATGTACAGTGTTTTGTGTTAGTACATATTTTGATATGAGTTATTAACGTATAAATGTTTGGAATGTTATGGTGTGCATATAAGCATAGCTCTATGGACAAAGTTTTAAATTTGCTTCCGTTTGGTCCATTTACTCTGATGAGTTTTGTTTTATTGGTTTGAGGCCGTAGGTAATCTCGTGATTACTGGCCGGTTATAGCCTTAACCCATAGGAGCGGGTTCGGGTCGTGACAAAGTGGTATCAGAGCACGAGTTAATAACTCACACACTTGTCCCAAAGAGCAATAAGCGTCTAGAAAAGATCTAGGATGCATTCATGTGATAAGTATGAATCTGAAAGTATCAAGAATACGCTTAACTGTTAAATGTGAATAACTATGTGTTATAAGTTTGTGAACTGCTTGCATTTCAAATTATTTGATTATGTATACTCTTTAGTATATGCATACCTCTGTATCTTTTGTATAAAGTATAATGTAAGTTTAATCAGATAGTGAGAACAAGAGGTGATGAGATAGAGGAATATTCTACTGCCAGACTGGATAGAATGGAAAGACTGATTCAGGAAATGACAGAGACATTGAGGTAACAACAGGAATGGCAACAACAGTGGCAGCAACCACATTCTCCACCTCCGCCTCTGGCACCTCCTGTGCCAGATAATCAAAATGATGACCGAATCATAGCTCTCACCAAAGAGTTCAAGAAAATGAAACCACCACAGTTCCATGGTGGATTAGATCCTTTGAAAGCTGAAGCTTGGGTCCTCGACATCGAAAAACTGTTTGAAGTGTTCCCGTGTTCGGAGACATAGAAAGTGTTTTCTAGCCACCTTTATGCTAGAAGGCGAAGCAAGAAGATAGTGGATGTTAATGCATGAGAATTACAAAGATGCTAATTGGGCAAAATTTCTAGAAATTGTTTATGACAAGTACTTCCCGCAGTGTATCCGGGATAGGAATGTGGCAGAATTCATGGAATTGAGGCAAGAAAGTATGACTGTAGCCGAGTATGAGGCCAAATTCACTGAATTGGCCAGGTTTGCGCCACACGTGATTGATACAGCCTATAAGAAGGCGAGACATTTTGAAGGCGGGCTTCGAAGTGACATTCTAGAGAGGGTGAATGTCTTGAAGCTGGAAACCTACATCGGGGTACTAGACAGGGCCATAATATCAAAAGCTAATATAGCTAGACAAACTAAACCGACAACTGACTAGAAGGGTAGTAAAAGGCAGGGCTTCTTTTCAAAGAAGAAGTTTTCAAAGAAGCAAAATACGGGCTCCTCGAATACTTCTAATTCTTCCCGAGATACAACCCCATTGTGTACTACTTGTGGTAACAGGCATCGTGGGGTATGTTACCGTGTGTCAGAAGCTTGTTTTAATTGTGGTAAACAGGGGCATATGGCCAGAGATTACAAACAGAACAGTGAAAAAT